ACAGGGAATGCCAGAGCAGGGAGGGGCCTTAGAACAGGGAATGTCAGAGTTGGGTAGACTTTAAAACAAAGAATTTCCAAGCTGGAAAGGACATCAGAGATTACCCAGTTCCAAATCCTTTAACAAATGAGGAAACTGAGGCCCAGAGAATGAAAGTGACTTGCCCAAGGTGACACTAGCTAGGCCCCACAGACCTAGATTAATATGTGCCTGTGGCAGGAAGCTATGGGGGTATGTTTTTCATTCTGAAAAAGAATTGTCCCAGAGGGCGGATCCTCCTTAGGGCTTGCACCATTCTCCAAGGCTGGGGAAATCCTACAATTTCCCTTCAGAGGTAAGAAGTTCTAGCCCTCCCAGGGGGAGGAGGCCCCTGTCTCCTCCTGGGGTTTTCTATTCCTTTGGAACAGACTAGGCCCAAAGCCTCCCTTCTCGTGTCTCACCTTTCCTAACCTCCTGCCTCCAAAAAGCCACCAACAAAGCCTCCTCCACCCAAAACTCTCCCCCAAAAGGCCTCCATGTGAGTGAGGAGAGGAGGCAGAGGCTGGCCTTAGCTGCAATGTCTCTGCTGGGAACACATTCCATGCAAATGCATAAAGGAATCAGGGACAGACACGGCCTGACACATCCTGGAATTCAGGCCCTTCTGTCTCCTGCCTCAGAGAGGGACCCACCACTTGAGCTCAGGGTCCTGGGGAGCATGAGTAGGGATGATCAGAGAAGGGTTCCTGTCCCTGCTGGGGGAGAACCAGGAACAGGGAGCTCCCCACCCAGCCTCCACCTCTGCCCTTCCTCTCTCCATTTCTAATGCCTCCTCATCTTCAGGGCCTAGATCAATGCCACCTTCCTGAGAGAGCCCTCCTTGTCCACTGTGATCTCTCCTCTGGCCTCTGAACCCTGGCTGAACTTTGTAGAAATCTAGAATCCAGGAGTCAGAAGGAATTCTCAAACATAGAACATGAGAGCTGGGAAGGACCTTAGAACACAGAATGTTAGAAATGGCAAGGGCCTTACAACAAAGAATGTCAGAGCTTGGAAAGACTCTAGAATAGAGAATGTCTGAGTTTGGACAGACCTTAGAACCTAGAATGTCAGAGTTTAGAGAGAGACCTTAGAACCTAGAATGTCAGAGCTTAGAGAGACCTTAGTACAAAGAATGTCAGAGCTCAGAGTGACCTTAGAACTTAGAACGTCAAAGCTTGGAGGGACCCTAGAACAGAATTCAGAGCCTGGAGAGCGCTATACCTTCAACAAGGGATTGGACTCAGCTCTCAGGTCCTGGGAGCACAGAGCATGATTCTCTGCCTGCATTGGGCAGTCCCTGTTCTAAGGAGAGAGGTGTCCTGTCCTGTTTCCTGCTCAGATTTACAACGGCTGATTCAGATTAGGGCAGGTCTGGAGCACAAGCCTGACCATGCCACTGCCCTGGCCAAGAACTTTCCATGGCTCTCTACTGCCTCTAAGATAAAACAACAGGTCTCAGCCTGGAAGTTAGTCTAGCACTCATGTACCTTTCCAGCATGGAACAGAGGAAAGAGTGGGGAATGTGGAGTACCCTGGCTCTGTGACCTTGGGTAAGTCACTTCACCAGATGGCCCCTGAGCCATCTCTTTCAGCTCCAAATCTGTGACCCTTATTCTTTTTCATGTACTCAGTATTTAAGTCAAACCAGCCCTATGACCACTCATCATTCCCCAAACTCAATATACAGCCTCCTACCCCCCTGTACTTCTCTGGATCCATGATGTATGTTCGGTCCCAGATCCCAAAAGGATGCAAGCTCTTTAAGGGCAGGGGACATTTTTTGTCTTTGTACCTCAGTGCCTCATCCACAGTAGGTGCTTAACAAGTTGAATGAATGATGAGTATCAGTGTGGCATCGTGATTAGCAATCTGGCCTTGGCATCAGGCAGACCTGAGTTCAAATCTAGCCTCTGACACCCCCTGACTATGTGAGCCCAAGCAATTCGGTCAACCTCTAGATCCTCTAAGTGGTGCTGACCTGCATGGGGAGAGGGAATTCCTCCCTGGGAGCCCCTCTGCCAATGAAACCACCTCTCCGAGTCTCTGAGTGAATGAAAAGGCTCTGACACCCACTGCCTCCCCTTGCCTGCCCCTCCTATCT